GAAAAACAGAATGGGGATCAAGCACAAATGCAGCCCCCCAGCTCTAATTTGAGCACAAACTGATTTGATTTAAATTGCCAATATCCTTGGATCTATTAAGCAGTTCCCTGACCTTCCTAAATCTTCCTACCTACTGGCCCAGGTAGCTTTTTAAAGACAATAGCTTGTACACAAGCTTTTGCCCAAAAGCCCCCATTTATTTAACAAAGAGAACTGTGACAGTTCTTTTACAGCTTACACCTCTCTCAGGTTGTGATTTACACAAATCTAGAGATAAAATTCCTCCTCATTGTAATATTCTTTAGCCAAGGACGCTACGTTACCACCAACTCCTTCGTAACATTCGATCACCGACACATAACTGCTTCCATTACATTAATAAAACAGCAGTTTAAAGGATACACTCTAATCTCTTTTTTTACTCTCCAACTGTCAGGTTGCACGGTTAAGTCCTGCTCAGCATTTGCCATCTCCCACCACAAAAAAAGTACTACCATGAAAGGAGCACCAGTGCCTTTATACACAGAATCCAAATTCCTGGAATCATTTGGTATTTCATTGCACAGTCAAAATATTATTTTCAGCTACAGTCATATATCAAACTGCCCATCAGTGAGCCTACCCATACAATCCACATACACTTGACTGTTCAAGAAGTCAATCATTATCCTGAATTTGTTAATCCAACCCTTAACAATCTCAGGACAATAAATCTATGTGAACCAGAGGTCATTTCTTACTCTGCACTTTACCTGCCTCGTCTGGTGAGGAGCAGCCGAGGTAGCTGGGGGTGCTCAGCTTGGAAAAACAGAGGCTCAGGGGGAATCTTCTCTCTCTAAAACTCCCTGCCAGGAGGGTACAGCCAGGGGGAGCCAGGCTCCACTCCCAGGGAATAAGGGACACAACAAGAGGAAACGGCCTTAAGTTGCACCGTGGAAGGGTCGTTAGTATATTGGAGAAAATTCCTTCATGGAAAGGCTGGTCAGCCTGTCAGGCACCGGAACGGGCTGCCCAGGAAAGCGGCCGAGTTCCCATCCCTGGAAGCGTTCAAAAAGCACGGGGATGTGGTGAGCGGTGGTCTCGGCAGTGCTGGGGCAGTGGTTTGACTCGATGATCTAAAAAGGGCTTTTCCAACCTTATTTCCATCTGCTAACCAGGCAACTAGCTCACACAACTCCATTTAGGGAGGACAAGAAGTTGCGTCACTGAGCTGCAGATAATGCTTTGAAGTCCGTTTTCCAAGTCCGCAGCATCTTTTTGATTGTACAATACTCAATGCTGCCCATTTCACTCTCAAGTTAGGAGCTCCCRAGCTCCCACTGCTCCAAATGTTATCTCGGGATGCTGATGCAGCTCTGTGACTAGGGAATTCCTCGTCCCTCCCAGCAGTCGCTCCTCTCCTGCTCAGATCATGGCTGCTCGAAGCCCACAGCAGCCTCCAGCCAGCCCAGAGCCCACTGGAGGCCCGTACCGAAATAGACGACACAAGCACATCAGGCATGTTCTGCGTTTTCTATTTCGGCTTCCATTTTAACCCCAAGATGTTTATATTTGAACAACTAAAGGGGCCGGTTCCGCATCTTAAAAGTAAGTCACCTGAGGTCCTTCTTAAATCAGCCTTCTACCTCTAAAGAGCACCACTGATCTGTGGTGTATTACTTACACATCTAACTGCAGTCTAAACAAACAGATTTCACAAGGAAAAAGGCAAATGGAATATTAGGAGACTGCAACTCAATGCTACAATGCTCATCCTTCACTTAGAACACAAGAAGATGTGAGACTAGTAAGTCAGTGAAGCACAAGGTATATCTTCACAAGGTAAATGAAAAAAGTCAAGCCCACAAATACAGTCATCATATACATCTAGATAAGATAAATTCAATTCTATCTCAGTCCAGCAGATAAGCACATAAAATATGCCCACTTGCACCTAGAGCATCAAATAATACATCAAGACCTTTAAAGGCAAACTCTTGACAACCATGAACCTAAAAAAAACCTCCTGCCGAGCCATTTCTGACAGAAGACAGAGCAAACCGAAGGCATGTGAAAGAAGGCACATGACTGCAAAACTCTGAACATCGCTCGTTCGCACTTCTCAGAGCTCCAAGTTCAAAAATGTTATTAAAAACTTCAACTTCTTCATAAACTAACGAACAGCCAAATAAACAGTCTGTAGAGAAAAACATGTATTATATTTTCAGGCAAAATTTTAGACCGGAATTACATGAGATAGAGAAACAAGAAGTTTTACCAAAACAGATAAGAGGATAAAGAATTTGACATTCTATTTGCAGCGAATATATATAAATTCGTTTTTTTTGCTCAGTATCACCATTCAGAAAAGAAGCCTCTCAAAACTAGTCCCCTTAAAATGACAAACATGTGAAATTTCTCAAAAAAAAAAAAAAAAAAAAAAAAAAAAAAAAGAAATAACAGATATGAGGCTATTTCATAAAGCTCACTCCCAGCTAAAAGAAACTTCTTATCACGACAGTGGCAAAAAGACATTAAAAGGACAGGTTTGGACTTCCAGGGCTTGCCTGGCCCAGAATCATTTCTACACAAAACCCCTTTTCAACTGGTTGCAACACACACTCATGTACAGACTGTCAATAAATATGAATAAAAAATTGAAGTATTTTTCTCTCACAAGTTCAGGTTATACAGACCTTTTCTCCCAAATCCATAGGGATCATCATCAAAGGGTGCTTGGTAATTTCAGTAGCTCCACAAAAAAAAGCAGTCACTGCCTAGGATAATCATCCTTTTCTCATTTCCCTCTTTTCCAGGAATCAGCCCTGCCCAGGGAATTCGCCCAATATATGCAGACACACACGCTGGCTCTCTCACTGCTACAGCTGATGAATTCAAGGCAGGTAACCATCTTACAGAAACCCTTGCCATAACAGAGAAGCCAGGGAGCATTCCTAGCCTATTCCCACAAAGGTATCCATTGTCTCACCCTGTGGGATAGACTTCAGACACACAACCCAAATGAGTAATGCAACACAAAAAGAACTGGCCCCAGCACTGCAGAAACTCACTTTCCATCAACACGTAGCCCAAAAATCACTGTCCCGTACAGACAATCTTCATTCCCACACACGCATGTTTGCCCACGGCCGGGATCAGCGCAGAGCCAGGGGGGTTCCATCCCCCTGCCCAGAGCCTCCCTTTAGCCTTTTTCTCTCAATAAAAAACTACTCTGAAATAGCACGTCTCTCCTGACACTCCCTGTCCCATTCAATCCCCTCATGCCGCCCAAACCCAAGAGCTTCTTTCCACCAGGCTGCTATTCACACCGCAGCTCCCCAAGAGCCAGCAGCGTTACAGCACCAAAAGCTGAGCCTCCCAAATGCCAGCTACTCCCATATGGATGCTGCTTCACTCCCCTGCACATACCTCTTCTGAAATCGTCTTCAACAAAAACCAGCACCTGCTGATCTGCCAAGAGGAGCTCCCTTAGCCTTGCAAACACCTCTAGAGTCTCCACCCAGCCCTAACACCCACTCGCACGCCCTTCCCCTCCAACCTGTTCGCATGCTGATCTAGTCCCATCTTCACATTAGTCCTTCTCCCCCGCCCAGGAACCGGCCCCACACCCACCGTGTCCTCCCCTGTCCACCTGCTCCTCACTGCTCCCGTCTGCTTCCAACTCCATGCACAAAACCAGCCCTCATTCACCCAGCATCCTTAAGACCTCCATTTATACAGTCCCCAAACCTAACTCTGCTGCCAAAAATATATCCCTCAACCCACACCCACCCCTCCAGCCTTGCTTTCTGTCCCGACCTACTAAAACTTAAACCCAACGTTTTCCTGCCTCAGCTGTCCATCGCACCCAGGCCCCCAGTGACCCAGTGTCTTACAACCACATCCCTGCTCCTACACAGCCCCTCAGTCACGAGCGATCCCCAGTGACCCCTCCACGACCAGTGACCCCAGCCAACCGACATCAAAAATTCAGCTCCCTGAGAGGTGCCTCTCTGTAGTACGAGCATAGTGTACTCACCAAGCGGGGCATTTAACACCCCTATCTCATTGCTCCCAGACCTCCCCCGTGCAGATCCAACCACTCACCTGCTTCATGGACCTCCAGACCCGGCCTTCCACACTGTCACCCCATCACATGCATGCTCCTGTCAACTTGTCACCCCTCAAGCCGGTCCCTGCTCAACCACCTCTCCCTCTGCCCCCAAATCCCTTTTGTCTCCCTGCCTCGTTCCTACCCATCCCTTTAAACGCACATTCCCCCGAATCAGCCCCACGTACACATCCTCATTGCCCTCTGACTCAACCAGGAACACCCCAACTCCTGTTGTCTCCTCGACATGCTCCTATCCTGCCCTAACACCTGCATTCTTACCGTCAGCTGGATTTGTCCCTCACCATCCCCTTGACCCGCCACTCACCTTTCCTGTCACCTCCATCTGCCGCTCACCTTTAACATCAACTAGTCCCGCCCCTCTCCTTTACTGTCACCCGGCCCTTCCCCTCGCACCACGGACTCTACTGCTTTCACACTTATCCCAGGATCCCCTCAACCTCCCACGCTGAGTGCCCAAACCTGCTTCTCGTACCCATCTCCCCGTTTCCCTCAAGCGCACTTCTGGGCAACCTGATCCAGGCCACTGAGCCACCGCTGTGCTCCTCCTTTCCCCCTCGCCCCGTCCTTCACCCCCACCCGATGTGGCTGCTACAATTCCCTCCGTACCCCAAACCAGCCTGACCCCCATACTCCGAACCAACTCTTCACTCTAAACGCACCCCTCACACCCCTAGCCAAACCAACCCCTCACCCCTGAACCAGCCTTTCGTCCCAGTACCCCCAACCAGACCAGAGATCCCTACTCCAACCCAACCCCAAACCCCCAAACCAGCCCCGAACCTCGAAGCAGCCCCGCAGCCCCCGACCACAGCGATCCCACGCGTCCCCGCACTCGGTCTCCCACGCCGGAACACGTCCCCGCCCCCCCCGGCCCGCGGGGTCTCACCTGAAGCGCCCCCCGCAGTGCTGGCACTGGTCGCCCACCCAGCCGGGCTGGCACTCGCACTGCCCGGTGCCCGGCTGGCACCGCCCGCCGTTGGCGCACGGCTTGTCGCATTCCTTGGACACCGCCACCTCCTCGCCGGCGGCGGCGGCAGGGCCCAGCACCAACAGCAGCAGCAGCGCCAGCAGCGGCGGCGGCGGCGGGGCCGGTGACCTCCCGCCCCGCCTGCCCGGTCCCCGCCGCGCCATCTGCGGCCGCTGCCGGGTCGGAGCGGGGCGGGCGGGGGGCGGCGGCACAACACGGACCATCGGCCGCCGCGGGGCCTCCGCCGATCCCGCTACGGTGGCCGCGAGTGGGGGGGGAACAGGGAGGGCGGGACCAGTGACGTCACCCCCGGGGCCATGGCGGCGGCCAGGGGGCGGATCAGGGAGTCCCGGAGTCACGGGATAGGGAGGGAATGGAAGCGATTCCCGGTTAGATCCTCCAGCTGCAGAGCTCTTCACGTAGGGGGGAGTTTCTCATTTCAGCAAGTTTAACAAGCGGAGTTTAAAGCACACGGCAATTCCCAAACCGCGAAATGGCATTTCCCAGGAAATCAGTCTATTTCAAATGGAGCTGTAAAATTAAAGCCTCTTTACTGCTCCCCATTAGTTCAATATTACAGGTGAGAAAGCAGCAGCTGGCACAGGTACAGCATCAGCACTGCCCCCCGTTAAAGGAAGGCTGGTGGGGATAACAGAACCACAGAATCCTTGGGGTTGGAGAAGAGCTCCAGGATCACCGAGTCCAACCTGCGACCCCCCCCCCCCCACACTGTCAAACAGCCCAGAGCGCTGAGTGCCACATCCAGCAGTCCCTCGGACACCTCCGGGGATGGACACACCACCCCGTCCCTGGGCAGCCCCTTCCAGTGGCTAACAACCCCTTCCATGACGAAATTCCTTCTGATGTCCAAGCTGAACCTCCTCTGGCTCACCTTGGTGCCGTTCCCTCTCCTCCTGTCCCCGTTCCCTGGAGCAGAGCCCGACCCCCGCGGCTGCCCCCTCCTGAAAAGAAGTTACAGAGAGAGCCACAAGGTCCCCCCGGAGCCTCCTTTGCTCCAGGCTGAGCCCCCTCAGCCACTCCTGGTGCTCCAGAGCCTTCCACAGCTCTGTTCCCTTCCCTGGGCACACTCCGGCCCCTGAATGTCCGTCCCGAAGTGCGGGGCTCAGAGCTGCCCCAGCACTGGAGGTGCCCAGCGGTGCCGGCGCAGGGGCCGGGCATTGCCCTGGGACTGAGCAGCGCCTGGCTCCACTGCCCCCACATGCACTGCGGAGAGAGCTTGGCTGGGGCTGTGTCCAACACCATCCTCGGGCAGCCACAGTGCCCCAGGCGAGCCCTAAAAGGTCCCCTCAGATGTGGCATTGTGTTCCTCCTACCTCAGGAATGCCCCCCAGCCACCCCACACACAGTGTGGGCCTGAGACATGGGAAGACCTTGAGGCCGAAAGGGGCAGAAAAGGAAGCGTTCAAAATGAGGCCAAGCAGGGCTCTGAGCCACCCAGGAAGCAGTATGGGAAGAGATTATTCCCTGTGAGGTTGTAAGGCCCTGGCACAGGGTGCCCAGGGAAGCCATGGCTGCCCCTGGATCCCTGGCAGTGTCCGAGGCCAGGCTGGACATTGGGGCTGGGAGCAGCCTGGGACAGTGGAAGGTGTCCCTGCCCATGGCAGGGAGTGATATGAGATGAGTTTTAAGGTCCCTTCGAACTCAAACCACTCTGTAATTTTATGATTCTAATTGTGTAAGCAAAAAAAAAAAAAAAAAAAAAAAAAAAAAAGGATCTGAAATAAAAGGATACCCTCCTACCCTGGAAAACAAGCTGATGATCTCCAAGGATTTCTGGGCCTTAATTTGTAACAGCAAAGGCCTAAGGAAGGAAGAATAGAAAAGTTAAAAGTCATCCTCTTCTAAATTTGTGGGCAAAGCAGCAGACTCTGCTGGACACGCAGCAAGGATATCCTTTGCAGTAGGAAAGGTGGAGCAGGAATAGAGATGCTCCGTGAAAATTTTGGACCTTTCATTCCTAACAGAGTGAGAAAGGAGTGAGGAAGTTGACAGCGTTTGGAGTTCTTGGGTAACTGTTACCTTTGGTTTGTCTCCAGTAATATTATTGTGTGTGAATTGATACAAATTGTTTCAAATGAGGACAGATGTCAACAGCTGAGAATTTATTATTAAAAGAAAAAAAAAAAAAAGGAAAACAGATACTATTCACATTTTTTCCCTCTAAAGGGCTGACCGGGGTTTAGGTGATGCAATGCAAAGACAGCAGACTGGGTGAAAATAGCCAACTTATTATATTTGAATAGTTCATTTGTGTTTAGAAATTCAAATACTAGTTACCTGTCTGAGATGAGGGAGGTTCTCAGTGGGATCCTTGTGAGTTACTGGGATAACGAAGGGTATTGAGCAGATAGGAAAGAAAACAGTCCAAAAACTGTTTTTTGTTTTTTTCTTGTCATACAATTATCTGTAAAAAAACCATTGCTCAGAGATCTTGCCTTTTCTGCTTGGTGCATCAAGAAGGAGAATGAAATCTTGCGTTTAGTTTAAAACTGCTGTGCTGGGCCAACCTGATAATCAAAGGAAACATAAGACCAAAAAGGTGTGAGTGATGAGAAATAGGTTGCAAATCCCTTGTAGGCTGTACAGAAATGGCTATTTCTACATACATCTATATTCCTGGACGGAAATGACTGCCAGCATGCCCTGAACCTGTGGATTCACAGGTCATTTTTCAAGGTGCTGCCAGAAAACCAGTCTGGCTCTGACAGTCAGCCAGCTCAGGATACAGGCAGCATGTGACAGTGGTATCTGGACTGTCACTGTGGTGGAGTGACCCTGGCTGGGCACCGGGTGTCCCCCAAAGCTGCTCTCACTCCCCTCCTCAGCTGGGCAGGGAGAGAAAATACAATGAAAGGCTTATTGTTGGCATAAGGGCAGAGAGAGATCACTCACCAGTTACTGTCATGGGCAAAAGAGATTGAATTTGAGGAAATCAGTTTCATTTATTACCAATCAAATCACAGTAGATCAATGAGAAATACACCCGGATCCAGTAATTTTTCCCCCACCCCTTTCTTCACAGTCTCAATTTCCCCAATGATTCCCCATCTCCTGTCCTTCTAAGTGGCACCAGGGGCCAGGGAATGGGGCTGTGGTCAGTCCGTCGCACATTGTCTCTGCCACACCGTCCTCCTCAGGGGTAGGACTTCTCACATTCTCTCCCCGCCCTGGCGTGGGCTTCCCATGGGGTCACAGCCTCCTTCAGGCATTCCCCTGCTCTGGCATGGGGTGTCCATGAGGTTCAGGTGCATCTCTGCAGCCCCGTGCCCCCCATGGCTCCATCAGACATGGAGGGAAGCTCCAGCACCTCCTCGCAGGAGCCACCCCATATGAAAGCCTTGTCACCCAAGCCCAGCACAAGTCACAGGCGCTGCCAGCACTGGTTGCTCCCAGCAACTGATGCCAAAAGGTCCCAGCCTGTGGGAGCATTTCTGGCATTGCTCTAACACCACATGGATTAGCCACATATTGCCAGCTCAGGGCTGGGGTTGGCATCTATTGTCAAATGTCATCCCTATCCTCTACTTTGTCTCTCCTTACATCTGTTTGTATTCACTTGCAGTCATCAGTGATAGCAATAATTATATTTTCACAACATCTGCTGCCCCTTTCTTGCCAAACATAGCCCACTGTTGCACAAGTGACGGGAAGTAAAAATATTGGTTAAGACAGTGAAAATAAACTTGGAGAAATTGTTCCCATCCTGGATATGAGTTGAATTTCTTTTCACTGGTATCAGGTTTTGCAAACCGCTTCTGTGCTCAACAGTTTATTTGGGTTTTTTATCCAGCTAGGTGGAAAAAACACAACATGCCATCTCTTCTTAGATCTCTCCCCACCCTTTTCCCAACAGTAGTTCCTTAAAAGTCATAGAATCACAAAATCACAAAATGGTTTGGGTTAGAAGGCACCTCAAAGCTCATGTCATTCTAATCCCCTGCTATGGCAGGGACACCGCTTGGTAGATCAGATTCCTCCAAGCCCTGTCCAACCTGGCCTTCAACAGTTCCAGGGATGGGGCAGCCACAGCTTCTCAGGGAAATTAGCAATTCAAAAGGTTTTTGCAACTAGGGAATCAAAAGGTTTTCTACCAGATAACCGGAATTATTAGATCTGGACAGTGGTTGATGGTTGTTGTTTTATCAACCAAAATTTAAATCTCTTAAATAAAGTGTCAAGAAGGGTCACCCGGTAAATGAGAACAGGAAGAGAGAGTTCTGACATCTCGATAAAAAAAAAAAAAACAGCAGCCCAGCTAACGGTGTTCATCAGCTGCCTGTTGCCAATCTCAAATATTTGGGAGAAGAGTAACATCTGCGAGTGTTGCACAAGAGAAGAAATCCTTCCTTAATCTTGTTAGTGATTACACTGTGCCCTGGCACTGCCTGCATCAAAGATTAGCTGTGGGAGATCATTATTGTTAAATTAATCTGTTTCATTTTCACATGCAAACAACGTTAAAAAATGCATTTTTCTCATTCTTTTTCTCTTTTTCTCTTTTTCTTTTTCTTTTTCTTTTTCTTTTTCTTTTTCTTTTTCTTTTTCTTTTTCTTTTTCTTTTTCTTTTTCTTTTTTTCTTTTTCTTTTTCTTTTATTTTTCTTTTTCAGTTTTTTCTTTAATTCACAGGCAACTTGCTAACATGAAATATGGTTTGAAAAGAGAGGAGTTAGGTTAGCCCAGAGTGCTGACTAGGCTATTTTTATTTCAGAAAACAAAAATATTTTATAATAGATGTACTAGAATGATTAAAACACCCTTTCTTGGAAACAGGCACAGCAGGACAATGGTGTTTTAGCAAACTACACATAGGGTAGGGATTGCCTTGCAGAAGAGCCCTGTGCATCACAGCTAAAAATGTAACATCAGCAGAGCAACACTTCAGTGACTGATCTCTGCTCTCTGGTGACCAGGGACAGGACCGAAGAGAACAGCAGGAGCTGTGTCAGGGAAGGTTTAGGTGAGCGTTAGGAAAAGATTCTTCCCCCAGAGGGTGGTCAGACACTGGACAGGCACCCGAGAGTTTATCGTGGCCGTAAGACTGCCAGAGCTCCAGCAGCATTTGGACAACGCTCTCGGGCACGAGGTGGCATCGTTGGGGTGTTCCGTGCAGAGCCAGAGGTTAGATTCGATGATCCTTGTGGGTCCTTTCCCACTCAGGCTACTCTATTCCATGATATTCTATGACTCATGCAACTTTATGCAGTATGTGAAATAAACAACAAAGTCAACAA